GAATCGGGAGGTCCGAAAGGGGCTGTCACAGGTGTTGGAAAACTTTTCTAGTTGGCCTCTTGCTTAATTTAATTAGAGATGCAAAAACTTTAAAATTCTCGGTCCCCCAAAATTGGCCGCACGTGTATGTGTGTGCATGTTGCACTTGCAGCAGTTACCTTACACACTTCCTTTCCCCCTGCTCCTGTATATGTCACTCAACTGAAATTAGTTTACATGTTTTTGCTGTCTTGGCATTTTCATGGAAATACATTTTTACAAGTTTCTCCGTCTAAGTGAATTAAGGTGGCAACAACATAGGCCAAAATGTCTTATAAAACGACTTGTGGCAGCCACTATGTTGTGTTTTTATCTATGTGTCCCATTTATTTAGGAGTGAATGAAACTGTCAGCAAATTTTTGGTTCCCTTATAATCTATCTGGAGATTATAGAACCCAAAATAGGTTTGTCAGTTCTGTGGGACTATATTTAACTACCTATAGTAATTATACCTCTAATACTACCTGTACTAATTATCAATCGTTTGGGAAATGACTTCTAAGTAATTATCAATCATTCAGGGAAATGACTTCTCTCCTTATTAAGTTATCTAATGGATAATCTAAATGTCAGCAAACACACACCAACAGTTATTAAAATTGAATTTTCAATTGTCTGCGTTTAATGGAAACTCATTTGTAAGAACAACACGTGCATATCTTTCTTAACACAAAACCCGACCAAACTCATTCTCCTTAAGGCCATCCATGCCCCAACCACATTTAAGTTCAGACAATTTATGCTTTGATTTAATTAAATCGCAAATTTAAGTTCACATGGTACATTTGGCGAATGTTGATTACATTTTTGGGGGCTCTCCATAAGTCATAAAGGGTTGTAGTTGTGTGTATGCAAATTTTATGGCCAACATGTGTGACGAAAGTTTTGTGTGTAGGCATTTTGCATTTGAATTAGGCTTATAAACCAGTAAACTAATTTCATTTACTTTTGCCCACAATTTGCTTTATAATTGTCAATTTCAGTTATTGTCAGAAAACTTTGTGTTTGTGTTGCTATTTGTCAAAATTTGTTTCGACTATTTCGGCAAATGGAAATATATGCAAAAGGATTTGAGTTGAACAATTTAAGGACTTTAAATAAGCTTTTCAGATTTAGAATTCAGGCTAAAATGTCATTTACAAACTTTGGTACGCTTAGATTGCCCCACAATGGGTTAATACATTCTTTAATTTACTTAACCGATACAAGCAACAATTTGTCTCAATCGAATTGAGCATGTGTTAAATCAGAAACCAATTACAGAAAGCTTATTGAAAAGCAAAAAAAGTGCAAGTGAACAAAGAAAATAATTATTTTCGCCTTCGCTCAGTACTGGCGAGTAATTTTCAGAAGTAGTACACATTTTTTAAAATTTCTTTTTCGGTGCTCAATGGCGATTCCATTTAATAAAATATTTTCCATGCTATCCGAGGCCTTGTAGTCCTCATGTCATTCATGGCTTTTCCCCCGGTAGTGGAAAGCCCTTTTCCCGCCTCCTTTTGTTGTGCGAAAATTTATTGATATGAGTGCGTTGTGTGTGCAATTCATTTCGGTAGTGAAAATGTTAAGCGTCGTTGAATGCAATTGAAATGAGGAGTCGGAGGGTCCAGAATCGCAAATGAAAAGCGCATTTTCTACTCGTTTGCATTGCGAGTGGGTCCTTGCATGGGTGAGAGCGAAGTTAACATTATTTTTACCCAGTAATTCTTAAATAACAAGGCTGTGGAACAACTTTAAGCCGCTTTTCAAGTTGGCTGTGCGTGCGCGCGTACCCAAAATAAATAAAAAAGTGCAAAAAGTGTGGAATCGCATCGAGCTGGAATTTGCATATTTGCGAAGGAGCATTGAACTCGTGTCAGCGTCGCTGGATCGGGTGGGTGGTTGGTTTTTGCTTTTTAGTTTCTGTAGTTTCAGTACTTTCAGTAGTTTCAGTAGTTCCAGTAGTTTCTCCCGGTTGTGTCCGCCATGTAATCGTCATCGCTGTCGTTTTGGGTGGAGCGAACACGTCTCAAATGACGCCTCCACCCGTTTTGTTTGGCCAACTGATGGACAAGTGTCATGAACACCGAGCATGAGGGATCGGCCATCGTCATCGACCCAGAGTCCTACACATGAATTACGTTTCCTGCATTTTATTTTTAGGTGTGTCGTCGTGGCTCTAAATTTGATTAATTCAGCAGGCATTCGCCCGGGGCGTTTAAAGAAGTAAAGTGAGACTTTAGAAATTGGTTTAAATTCCTACGCAGCTGTATTTTGTTGACTGCCACGTGAATAATTAAAAAAAATAGGCAAATAAGGGAATGTTATGTACAGAGAGCGTACCTAAGGAATTTTAAACACATCTGTAACTTGAACCCATTAAATTGTTATACAAGTTGAAGAAGTACAAATATTTAAACCAAGTGAATCGATGGAAGTTTTTTCGAATTGCGAATGTTTGGAAATGCTTTAAGAGTCATGGCGGCAAATTTGTGTGCTTAGAGGGCGAAATTGGTGGAAAATTCTCCCGGCTAATGAAAATCTCAAGCTGTGCGCTCGGACCGTCGAAAATCAGACATTGGCGCAACGGGAGATGAATTGATTTTAAATCAATATTGACAGATGACACTGGCAACACCAAAAGCAGCAGCAACATCAGTTGCGACGGAAAATGGTTGCATTGGTGTTGGGAAACTCCTGAGGGGCACGCGTGTAAGTGTGCGCAATGCTGCAACATTCTAGCAGCCTGCTATTCAAGTGGAAACAGCGCCAGGAAAAACTCAGCTGCTGCCTCAGCTGGAGACCGGCGATTAGAGAGAGGCGGCGCTCCCGGAGATACACTGTCAACAAGACTGTTTAGCAGCCAACTCATGTGCATACTTAAAGGAATTATACCGAGATATATGCACAAATGGCAATATATAAAATCTGATGTGGCAGCGATGGTGCGCCAGAAGGAAATTGCTTGTGTGCGACTTGCAATCTGAGCTCCTTTTCGGATTCTAATAAATGGAATTAGCTAGAAGAGTACCAAAGCTACTTTTTCTGTTTTTATTTTATCAATTATTTGTTTAAGCAAATAATTTACTGGTTATTTTTTTGTAGTGTGCTTAATCTGATCGATAAGATTCGCATTTTGAATGCTCATCTGTGCGATAATGATTGGAAATTAGTGATAACCGCCTCTTGTCAATAAATTCATTAGGCCATTCAATGCAGAAGCCCAGCAGTAGGCCAACTCCCTGTACTTCGGCTTCAAACCATTCAAAATTTCCCGAGACACCCCCGGGCGATAACTAACCGCAGATTGCACTCATTTTCCGGGCAGAACTGACAACAATCGGCAGCCAACAAGGCCCGCATGACAACGCAATCCATAAGGACATACCTTGTACCTGAATACCTTCAGAAAGGACACACTGTCGACAATTGCACTTTAATAAATGTCAGATGTGACAGAGCCTCGTCTGCCTTAATTGAATCTGCCACAGTTATCTAGATCTAGCTGAAACTAACTCCCTGTTATTATCCCTCCCTGTCAACAGTGTTTGCTTTTTGATGGGGTCGCAGATAGGGGCTGATTAGCAGCTGGTTGTGGTGCTAACTCCATTATATGGGTTCTTTTGCTCAATTAAATAAAACTGTGTCAAGGTTCAGAGACGAAAAAAGTAAGAAAATCCAAAGTCCGCAATAAGTGAGAGAATTGCGAAATGTTGTGGCTGCCCGTCCAGAGAGCTTTCCCACTTAAACTTTGCTGAAAACTGTTGCATAATTTCAATTGCCACCTGCCGAGACTCAAGCAGAAAGCAGTCATCTGGTTTTCCCTCGAATGTTTTGCTTTTCTTTCGCCATGAGAGAGTAGGAGAGTAACTTAGCAATTTGGAAAATTGTATCTGCCAGATAAGTTGAAGATGAAGGAAAAGTACAGAGACTTTTGCTATTTGCACTTTTTCTTTCCCACTATCGGGTTTTTCATTTCTCGTTGGTCTCTTTTGGGAAACGCCTCCTTCCTGACCAGACTTTTGTAATGAAGCTTTGAAGTTGGTGTTGACGCTGATGTTGCTGGCTTTGTTGGTGTTGCTGGTGTTGCTACTGCTGTTGTTGCACGTTGCTGCAGCCGATTGTTGCTTGTTGCTTCCGTGCGGCTTGACTTGACTGCAGATTGCCCCTTGGGTTCGCTGTCAGTGCGGAATGCCATCGCATCGCATAATCACAATAGACGAACGCCCCGCAGGCAATCTCTTTAGGACTCGGCAAAAAAGCGACTTTTGTCATCGCCAAATAGTTTTCCCCCTCCCCACGCAAGCAAACTCAAAACAATCAGGCTGAAAACTTTGCTTTTCTCACATTACACAAGCAGTTTCGGAAAATTTATATTGAGTCAGCCGTTTGAAGAGACTGCGTTTCAGTTTCAGCCTCCTCTTATACAAGTATATTTCATGTTTTTTTCTTTATTCGTTTTTATTAATCAATATATGTTTTTTTCCATACAGTTCACCCGTTTATGTTGCACAACGTTGTAAAGTTGTTGCATCGTTCAATGCCTTCAATTTAATTAAGTTTTTTTCAACAAGTTGAAGCCCGTTTTGCATTTTATTTATTTTCTACTTTTTTCAAGATGCACTGTTATGGTTAGTGGGCTTGGGGGTGTTTTAAACGGAATTAAGTTACTCCAAACTTTATCAAATTTGTTTAAATTGAACTGTTAAGTAAATAAATCCATATATGACAGTTCCGTCAACCGAAAAAGGACTGTTTAGAAGATTATTAGGTTCCAAGTAAAACGTTTAAATATCAATTTGCTTTCTTTCAGAATTTCCTTATCCTCAAGGTTTCTAGATCTATAACCTTTAGTGATGTAAAAGCATTAATAATGGGCTTATCTTCCGTAAAAACTCACTTTAAGCATGGCTTATTTTATTTCACGGTGTTATGGCCTTCGGCCCTATATAAGAAATATTTTCGATGTGATGTTAGCTTTCCGGAGAGAACTTGGTCCAAAGATGTGGACTTCGAAGTGTCAACCGTTTATCGCCCTAATTCTCCTCGGACCTTTGGTGTCCAGTGAATCGCTTTTGTGCAAACAATGCATCGGGAAAAGTCTTGAACGCGTTCGCCAATCGATAAGGGACATCATCAGCCCTCCGGTATATGAGGTATACCCATCTCCACTGAATAAAGTGCAGCCACCGAAAGTTTTCCTAAAACCCGAGGTAATTAAACAAACTCCTCCAATATAAATCTAGAAGTTAAATACATATATTAATATTACAGTCTTCACGAGTGATTCACGTGCATCAGCCTCAGTTGATAGTTAAGCCCATTTTCTATCCAAAAGTCGATTCTATTTCTTTCAACAATGAGATAGGAGCAGATAGGCCAGTGTCCGCGATTTCTACTCATCCCCAACCCGGTACCTTTGGAACTCCAAGTCGAAATGAACAGAAACAGATACAATATCAAAACAGTAACTTGAATATTAAATTGGAAGTGAACGGACTAAAAGAACTAACAAAAAATCCTCAATTGGAAACGATTCCCCAGGATAACAGCGGTAAAATATTTTCAGAAGCTAAATATGTTTTAGTAACCCTGAGCAAGGCGTTGCTAGAATCAGAGTCACAGTCCGCTTCACTAATACAGTTACAGCGAAAACAACGTTTAGAAGTACATCTACAATTGCAATTACTGAAAGGCATGCTAAACAATCAGAGCTCTCTCTCATTGCCGGTGCAGCCTGAGTCTCAAGCCGAGCTCCAGTCACAGCTTAAAATTCTTGAAGTCTTGCTACAAAAACTGGTAGGTGGCAAATCTGCCTCAGAGACGAATTCGTACACGTCGCAGCTACGGCGACAAAATCAGTTGCTCTTCAAACTACTAAACACAGAGCTAGACATGCTATCGGGTTTAAAGCTACAAGAAATCAATATGGGAACGCAACACACATTACAGTTAATGTCAAGTATAAGGAAAGAAATACAGTTGCAATTACTAAAACTTTGGCGAGTGCAGGAGAATCAAATATACGAGGAATCTGAATCTCAGTTAAAGTCACAAATAGCGGAACAGATCAGCACAAATTGGCAACTTATACGACTGCTGGACTTAAAATTAAAGAAGCAGTCACGATTCAAATTGATGCTACAAGAACGAATACTGTTGCAAATTAAACAATTTGAAAAAGTGGAACAGATCAGTTCAAAATTGCAGTTGCCGCGGCAGCTAAAACAGGAAATCCTGTTACAACTGCGAAATCTTAAACAGTGGTATGACACACATATAAAAAGACAGTTTACAGAGTCGCAAGTCAACTCGCTGTCACCGGAGGAATTTGAGCTCGTGCGGAAAATAAATTCTCAACAATTGATAAGAGTACAGCTGCTAATTAACAATATTATACAGTCGCAAGAAAAAAGATGGCCAGTATTTCATTTGGAGTCCCACAGCCAATTACATGCGATTTACCATAAAGTTCTGCAGTTAAATTTGGGACTGTTTATCTCCGAGCTAAACAAGTTAAAAAAAAAAGAGTTGGAATACAAAATAAAGGCAGAAAAACTAAAAATCAAGAGGCCATATCCCGCATTTCAAGAGAACTTACTGGATCTCCTAAATAAATTACCTCCCCGGAAAGATGGAGTGGTTTTATTACGTCCATCTGTCGATAGATTGGTTGTTGATCAAAATCAGGTTCGTAATGAGCAAGCATTAAAAAACATCAAAATTTATTGAACCTTTTGCAGAATCCTTTGCTAGTGCAACCAAAAATTCTGGAATTTGGTGAAAATAATAGCCAAATTTCTTCCTCAAGCTCGCGCATAACTTCAGAAAAGTCGCTGACATCGTCATCAAACTCATCAAACTCTGAGTCCCAACGACAGGAGGCAAACAATGGAAATTCTTTGCCACTGGGTCAGTCGATCTCTAAGTCTCGGTCGGAGTCTTCGTCTAAAACATCGTCTCATACATCGTCGTCGAATTCAACTTCAAATGTTGAATCGAAAATACGACTTGTGCCCCTAAATATTTTGTCAGGCTAAATATTATTCTTATACTTTTCACAGTACTGACATTGGCGAAGAGCAGACGCCAAAGCAGAATAAAAAGTTAAAAATATGTACTACATTTGGAACCAATTTTAATAGATATTTGCTGCAATTTGCTATTGATTAAAAAAAAAAGTTAAAAAAAAGATTACAAAAATAAGTTAAAAAAAACATGAACATTATTTTTTTATTCTTGCAGATTTTTGGCCATCAAAACTTAATAAGCGTTTGGAACTAGCTACTTAATCAAAAACATCACAAAGTTACAAACCTTAATTACATGGTTTTCGGCGCTATAATATGATTAACTTAGCCCTCTCTACCGGCTTACAACCCTCACAGATTAACTTGCAATTTCATCCCTTAGGGAAAGACAGCTGTCGAGTCTTGTTAACTCGCAAACGCCGGTCAAATGTTGATTTAGCCACGGTTTTCTCGCTCGAGCGTTGCAAATGCTGGGGATAAGAATATCCAGCTAATTTAACAGGCACGCCGAAATGGCTATACTCGTACTCAGCTGAAAGGGCTGATAAAAGTATCTTCCTGTCGGGAGTTCAGCCAGAAATTAACATATGTACGAGTATGTCTAAGCTGGGACACGCGATTCCGGGGAGGTGCAAAACTGGTTCCCACACTCGCTTCGCTTCACTTTTGTGAAATGTTTGTGCAAAGTATTTAGTGCAGCAATTGAGACGGAAATAAAAATAAGGAAAGGAAAACAGAAGACAGCTTGTGCCTTAATTTTACGCCAGAGCAGGCAGAGATACATTTCCATACCCCAACTTGGTAGTGCGCAATGTTCTGGGCCAGGGTCCAGGGCCAATTAAAATTGGGTGCAGAAAGTAATGCGTATTTGATATTGTCTCTTTTAAGCAGTTGTTTTGTATTTTGGGGATTGCGAGTCAATTAAAATTGGTTGACAGTTTTCCCCGGTTGCCGGCGGGGAAATCTCTAGAGCTTTGTGAAAAAAGGGTTTTCTAAATTAAACTTTTCTCTTCGCTTTTTTTTTTTTGCTTCTTAGATGCTTTTCGTATTTCGTTTTTTGGCAAATAAATAAAATGTTGCGAAAGTTTTGCTATTTGCGTTGTGTTGCCAAGGGAGTTGCAAAAGGCAGAGGGCGAGGGAAACTGACCGTGGCAAAAGTTCTTCCAGCATTAAGCCGGGCATAATTAAAATTTTCGTACTGTAAGCCCCTGGGCAGATTATAGCCAAGTTTTTCCCGGGCCTGAACTTGCTATTGGCTTTGTTTGCCCCGTTGATTGATGGTAAATAAGCCGGGGTCTGCATCAATCCTTTACGGGAATATAATTTTGAAATTCAATTGAAGGCGAGAGCAGCTTTAAAGATTACATTGTTGCTTAGTAGAATGGAATCGAACTGGCGACTAATCGAATTTACGAGTCGTCCCTCTCGGACTTTTATTAGCCCATTGAGCGCGTTTCTTTCTTTTTGTCACAAATTCCGTTTCGCTTTTTGTTTCGCTTTTTAGCTTTGTTTTTACGGCAAATTTCATTTCAATAAAAGTCGCATTAATTTCATTTATTTGCTGTAATTTTTTCCCTTTTCCGATTGCCCTTGCCATTTTTATACCCTCTGTTTTCTGCTGCCCTTTTTGCGCACCTGTCTCACCTGATCCAGCTGTCTATCAAATGGAGCTCACGCTTTGCCCCTCTTTATCACATTGCCGCCTCGTCCATTTCAATTAACTCTCAAGGATTATTTTATTATGTCCATCAATTCCGTAACTAAAAAGTCACCAATAAACGAAGGACAGAGCCATCGATTCCCTCGGACAGAGTTCGTTCTCGATTAGTGTTTAACTTTCAGTACTCCACTCTTATATATATTTTTTTCCAGTGCGCTTTGCTTTCCCCCGCTTTTTTACTAGTCACTTCTTAATAATGGGATCCTGCAGTTGAAGCGGCATTTAATTAAAACTCGAATTTAATCGATGCAACTTTATTGAGTGATGTTAAACAGTGCTGGTTATTTGACTCTAAGGTCGTTAATAATTCACTTCATTAGTGTGGGTAGTTACTTCAAAGAACGTTGAGTTCCATGCATTTATAGGTATATTATAAATGTATAGAGCTCGAAAGCTTTCTAAAGAATAATATTAAAACTAATCTCGTGCCGATAATAATTGAACAATAGCGCACATGTGCACCGGATTTCCCTAAGCTAAAAAGTCATGGAAATGTTTTGCCTTTGAATTTATTAATATTTAGAACCTACTATTTAGATCATTGTTTTACTCATATTTTACCCCAAAACGCCTTAAAAATGCACAGCACATTTTAAATTCTTGTAAGCCCAAGTAGTTATTGCCAGTTCAGCCTTCCCCTTTGAGCTTTTCACGCAATAGAAAATCAAAACATTTTCCAGTCTAGAAAACAAATTCGAATCTTTAGACATGAATCATTGAGCACACTAAAAGAGGAAAGGGGATAGCACTTAACCAATTATAAAATTGTGGGCGGGTCTGTAGGCGTATTTTCCTGTCAATTTGATTGTGCACATGGTGGTATCTGCGTGTGTGTGTGTGCGTTTATGTAACTTGATCTATAGCCATGGGCATATGTGAGCATACATAAAAAACAAGAACAAAAACACAAAACACAAACAACGAAACATTGTTACGACCAACAATAAAATGATTCAAAAGCCAATTAAAGATAAGAGGCGGCAACAAAAACTCTGCCCGCAAAAAATGCATTAGCATAGCCAAACAAAGTTGAGAAAGGAGAGAAGCTCGGAAAATAAGGGAGACGGATTTAGTCTAAGACCTGTGACTAACCGCATAACAGCAAATAAATGTTGCATAAAGAACGAAAAACTGCTGACTGCAATCAATCAACGGAGTTAAACGCTTCCGAGAACAACCAAACTTGCTTCTTGAGTGACGAATAAACTGCGAAACTCTGACTCTGACTTCGGATCCCAGTCGGATCCCTCGGGGCCCGGAATCAACCAGGAAGGAAGTACTATGAGCTGCAGGACTTAAAACCTACAAGGCCTACATGACTACCGTAGCTCGCAAGACACGAAACGGGTTGGGCCTACACTGAGCCCAAGAAGTGAGTAGTTCCTAATAGGGAAATGTTATGCACGTTAATGCAGAGAATGCCATGTTCGTGCCCTATTTGCAATGCAAGACCAAAGTATTTAGTTAAACAACTAATTGGCTTGAAATAGTTCTTTCAAAATGGCCCTAAATTAATTCATTTAATATTCCAATATTTTTGTATACACTTTAAAATTCCGGTATAGTCGGTTGTTTTCTCGTTAGAAAGAAGTTTGTAAGTAACTATGTATGTATATATACTATTCAATGTTATTATATATTATTTCGTGTAATATCCCACATTGTTATTCAATGTTATTATTTATTATTTCATGTAATGTCCCAGTTTATTAAAGTTTGCTAATGCTTTTTAAGCAGTGTAAGAAGAAGGGCGTGCACATAAGAAGGCAGGAAAAGCATTCGAAATGAAGAGCGTGTATGTGGCCATTGTGAGGAATGGAGTGGAATGAATTGGAGTGGGCCAGAACCGAATCAAGAAGGGCTAAAGAAGAGGGCGTGGCTAGGGGCGGGGCTAGGGGGTGCAAATCAGGGGGAGTTGGCTAAAAGAGTACGGCCTAAGCCGACAAGTCTGACTGCAGGCATTTGAAAGTTGCCGGAATGCAAAGGAGGCAGCTTTGGCATTGAAACAGCATTTGAATGCGGTCGACAAAAAAAGGGGCATAGCAAGGGGTGAGCATTGGGAATGGGGGGCAAACAAAGCAGGGCGATGAAGGAGAAGAAAGAAATGCCAAGTGCATGAAACTGAAAGATGAATGGAAAAGAGGGCGAGCTGTAGATATATTTTCAGCTTTAATCGACCGTGTTGGTGGATGTGGGTGCCCAGAGGCAGCGAAGACTTCTTTTGTAGAATTATTGACTCTCGATCCACACTAGCAGTAGAACTCGACCAGCATCAATAAAAAAAATTATACAAAATTTAAGAGCTCATGCAGCAGCCTAGCAAGAAATTCATGTTTTTCAGACCACAGATAGAAAGATGAGCGGATAAGCAACGAATGGTTGAATGACAAAGGCAGTAGGTAGGCAGCCAGGGAAAAAACTATTGTATAGGGCCAACTATTGTTGGAAATCTCTTAGAAATCGTTGGACATATGCTGTGCCTCCAGCTGGAGTACTTCATTTGAATTTATGCGCCTTCAGTTATGCAAAGCTGTCCACTTGAAAATCAAAGAAAGAGGTGGAGAACGCAAGAAAACAGAACCGACGATTTTAGATTTCGAGTAGCTGATTGCTAGCAAAGACCGGAATGAAAGTAAAGGGTTTCTTAAAGTTTAATTTTTCTTCTTCAGGGAGTGGGCACCCTACGAGGTACCCCATAAACAGATCGTTAAACGTTCGGGCAAATTGCTGGCACACGCAAACTGGCACGCCCAAACCGGTTGCGAGTTGGGAGATGCAGATACATCAAGATGGCAACCATGGCGAGGAGAGGCTAATGCTGCAACTTGCAACAGCGACAACGAATGCCTCACAAAACAATGCACAGACCCATCCCCGCCCCCCTAAACCACGCCCTCTAATGGCTGGGCCATAAAAAGCTCATCAACGTCATCTTCGCATTGTCCCCAGCCCCTGGGAAACCCACAAATGTTGCACATTGTGCAACTGCATCAACCACAAGCAGCAGAAATTTGATAAAAATTACACAGCAAAAGGTAAGGAGAGGAAAAGTAAAATACAAGCGACACACAAAACAATTTTAAGAGCCAACGATTATTTAAAGTGAAGCCAGGCAACAAATGATAATGGTAGCCAACCGGCAACGTCCAACAAATAGCCGCAAGATACGCTCGGCAAAAGTCATGAAGCCAAAGGAAAATTTAATAATAGTAATTGCAAACAAGCACACAAATGCCACTTTGTAAATATGTTTTCTATGCGAAAACCTTGAACAATCGCTTCAGGTTGCTGCAGCGGCTGTCGAT